GCTAGTTCTGGGCAGCGGCAGCAGGCCCCTTCCTAGCCCCCTGGGCCTCTCACTCCCCTGCCTTCCCCGTGTCCTGGGTGGTAGACAGGAGCTTCCTTCCTTCCCCCTGACTTCCAGTTGCTGGTTTTCCATCATTGGGTGGCAGGCTGTCCTCAGAGAAAAGAGCCTGCAGGCCTTATAAGGAGGAGCCCAGGGCTTTTATCTTGAGGCAGCCAGCACCCCTCCTGGAGGTTTGGAGTCCCAATCACCAGGCTCTCCCCCCTTGGAGGGTCACCAGGCTGACTGCTTGCCTCCATTCTTGTCTTTTAGATGGTCAGGAGGCAGGAGAGTTTGAAAGGCATCCAAGGTAACTCCAGTGTGCGTGTGTCTCATGTCATCCCCCTCCCCAGAAAGGCGGGGTTCATGAGCATCATGGTGTATGGCAGGGGAACCTCTCATCCCCAGACACCTGCCCACAGTGTAACAGTGACATGCATGTGGCTTCCCTCCCCTTCTCAACAGCCATCCCTGGTCACCCACTACCTTCCCCCAGTGAGCCCAGAGAAACCTCTGCTCTACAGCAGACCCTACCCATCTGCCAGCAGCGGCTCTCCGGATGAAGCCAACTCCCAGCCTGGGCGTAGATGAGACCTAAAGTGGTTTTATGAAGCTCCAATCTTCTATAATTTATGACATAGTATGTGTGTATATATTTATGACATAGTACATATTCCTATATATATCCTATTATATACTCATACACTCACATAGTCATGGCACATTGTATATTCAAAACACAAAACTTACGTATCTATTCATTACATAGTATGGTCATACATTCATACGTTTGTGACCTGGTGTATATACATTCACATGTTCATGATAGTCATAGTATATACTCACATTCATGTATTCACAATACAATATGCATTCATATGAGGGGCCTTGAAAAAGTTTATGGGAAATGCATATAATATACCAGGTGCTGTGGCTCATGCCTGTAATCCCAGCACTTTGGGGGGCTGAGGAGACTGGATTGCCTGAGCTCAGGAGTTTGAGACCAGCCTGGGCAACATAATAAAACCTTGTCTCTGCTAAAATACAAAAAGTTAGTTGGGCATGGTGGCACATGTCTGTAGTCCCAGCTACTTGGGAGGCTGAGGCATGAGAATTGCTTGAACCCAGGAGGCAGAGGTTGCAGTGAGCTGAGATCACACCATTGCACTCCAGCCTGGGCAACAGAGTAAGACTCTGTCTCCAAAAAAAAAAAAAAAGAAAAAAAAGAAAAAGAAAATGTATATAATAAAAAAAGCAATGAAACAATGTATGGATTTCAGTTTTTTTTTGCACCAAACTAAACTCATACTAACTTATTATAACATATCTGAATAGGGTCTAGTTTGAGGTGCTAAGAAGGAGAAGACATCAGTTTAAAAAGAGTCCGTTTCAGAGCAGCATGAATTCTGCTAAAATTGAAGCCAGAACAAACATCTTTATGGTGAAGCTTGGGTGGAACAATGGTAAAGTCATTGATACTTTATGACAAGTTTATGGTGACAGTGCACCACAGAACAGCAGTTTCCAGATGGGTGACTCATTTAAGAAGGGATGAGGCGAGGCTGAAGGTGCAGCCTGCAGTGCCAGCCCATCCACATCAGTTTGTGAGAAAAAACATTCATATTGTTCATGCCCCAAATAAAGAGGACTGATGATTACCAGCAGAAACACTAGCCAACATCACAGACATCTCAACTGGCTCAGCTTACACAATTCTGACTGCAGAATCAAGGTTGAGCAAACCTTCCACTCAGAGGGCACCAAACCCATTGTGTTCAGATCAGCTGCAGACAAGAACAGAGCTTTCAGTGGAAATTTTAAAGAAGTGGGATCAAGATCCTAAAACATTTCTTTGAAGAATTGTAACAGGAGATGAAACATGGCTTTGCCAGTACCATCCTGAAGACAAAGCACAACCAAAGCAATGGCTGTCGAGGGCTAATCGTGGTCCCATCATGGTAAGAGTGGATGGGACAAGAGCAAAGGTCATGGCACAGTTTTTTGGGATGCTCAAGGCATTTTGCTGGTTGACTTTCTGGAGGACCAAAGAATGATAACATCTGCTTATTGATTGATTGATTGATTGACTGAGATGTAGTCTCGCTCTGTCGCCCAGGCTGGAGTGCAGTGGCACAGTCTGGGCTCACCACAACTTCTGCCCTCTGGGTTCAAGTGATTCTCCTTCCTCAGCCTCCCGAGTAGCTGGGATTACAGGCGTGCACCACCACCCCTGGCTAATTTTTGTATTTTTAGTAGAGACGGGGTTTCACCATGTTGGTCAGGCTGGTCTCAAACTCCTGACCTCATGATCCTCCCACCTTGGCCTCCCAAAGTGCTGGGATTAGAGGCATGAACCACTGTGTCCAGCCAACATCTGCTTATTGTGGGAGTGTTTTGAGGAAGTTAGCCAAAGCTCTAGCAGAAAAACACTCTGGAAAGCTCCACCAGAGTCCCTCTCGACCACAGCAAGGCTCCCGCTCATTCCTCTTGTCAAACGAGGGCAACTTTGTGAGAGTTTTGATGGGAAATTATTAGGCATCCACCTTACAGCCAAATTACAGTCCTGATTTGGCTCTTTCTGTCTTCTTTGTTTTCTAATCTTAAAAAATCTTTAAAGGGCACCCATTTTCTTCAGTTAATAATGTAATAAAAGACTGCATTGATGTGTTTAAATTCCCAGGACCCTCAGCTCTTTCAAGATGGACTAAACGGCTGGTGTCATCACTGACAAAAGTGTCTTGACCTTGTGGAGCTTATGTTGAGAAACAAACTTGATATTTTTTATTTCTTTATTTTTATTTTGTTTTGGGATGGAGTATCATTCTGTCATCCAGGCTGGAGTGCAATGGCGTGATCTCGGCTCACTGCAACCTCCGCTTCCTGGGTTCGAGCGATTCTCCTGCCTCAGCCTCCTGAGTAGCTGGGACTATAGGAGCGTACCACCACAACCAGCTGATTTTTGTATTTTTATTAGAGATGGGGTTTCACCATCTGCCAGGCTGGTCTTGAACTCCTGACCTCAGGTGATCCACCTGCTTTAGCCTTCCAAAGTGCTGGGATGACAGGTGTGAGCCACTGTGCCTGGGCTATTTTTATTTTTTAATTCCATGTTCTACAAACTTTTTGCAGTCCCCTTATGTATTCGTAGTTAAGTATATTTATGTATTTCTGTGTCTATGACCTGGTATGTAGATTGATCTGTCTGTGACCTGGCACATATGTGTATTTCTGCTCTCATGACATAGTATATGGGGAAATCAGGACCTCCACCCCCACCATTACTTTCTTTGTCTCTAAAAGGAGTGGGCTGGACTTGATCTTGAAGGTGTTTCCTGGTGCGAAGGGCTGCCGTGTCTGTGTTTTCTGGGCCGGCATCATGTCCTTCCCTTGGTGCGCCGACTCTTTGCAGTGGGTTTGCTTTGATGGAATGTATGAATGAGTAAATCTATGAATGGGGTTGGGGTCCCTGGAAAAGATGAGTGATTTGAGTGGAACCTGCAGAGGCAGGAGTCGGGGAATGCTTGGGAAACAAATAATCACCAACCAACCGCTCACCTCTTATGGCTCTTCGAACCGTATAATCACACATTTTTGGGTTTATATTTATTAAATATTTTTGGCTTTGAAAACTTTGCGTCTTGGCCGGGCGCGGTGGCTCAAGCCTGTAATCCCAGCACTTTGGGAGGCCGAGACGGGCGGATCACGAGGTCAGGAGATCGAGACCATCCTGGCTAACACGGTGAAACCCCGTCTCTACTAAAAAGTACAAAAAAATAGCCGGGCGAGGTGGCGGGCGCCTGTAGTCCCAGCTACTCCGGAGGCTGAGGCAGGAGAATGGCGTGAACCCGGGAGGCGGAGCTTGCGGTGAGCAGAGATCCGGCCACTGCACTCCAGCCTGGGCGACAGAGCGAGACTCCGTCTCAAAAAAAAAAAAAAAAGAAAGAAAACTTTGCGTCTTTTAAGAAAAGCTAAAAGCTTAGTTGACATGCATCATCTGGTATCTGATACTTAAAATAAAAACAGCATTAATTTTTACTCCAATCATTGCTTTGCAGTTTAAGTGACTTATGTAAGTAACGTTTCGAGCCTCAAACCCATTCACGCCAGAAGATTTCCCAGCAGAGTGAAGAGAGCAGGGCTCGTTGCTGCCAGGAGAATTATGATCGTTCTCCCCTTTGGCCTCCAGTAGGGAGTGATTTAAAACTGTGAGACATTTTCTTTGGCCTCAAATCTGACTGATTTCCATTTTAACAAGAAAGTTCACATTTCTGATCTTACATTTTTTCTTGTAAAGACAGACTTAGATGCTTTTCTCCTCTATGTTTTTGTGCCATAATTTTTCATAAGGAAAGTATATTTATGATATTTATGTTAACATAATTAGTATATATTTTATATTAGTAGCATATTAACAGTGTAATAAAAAATAAAAACAAACTCTGGTATCTGGAGGATCACGTGCTGACCAGACCCCGTGTGGAAAGTGCTGAAGAGCATCAGGGAAATGGAAATGCCAGAATTCCATCTGTGCTTGTGGCTTTCCTTAAATTTTTATTATGGAAAATTTCAAATACTCCCCGAAGTGGAGATTGGCTTAAATCAGCATCACTCAGCTCCAGTCATTATCCAGTGTGGTTCCTCTGATCTTCACCACCCACTCCCGCTCCAAAAAAGATGATTTGGAAGCAAATCCTAGTTAGACGTTGTACATGTTCCATATGCGGTTCTAAAAGAGAAAGCTTCTTGAAAGACAGCCCCAATGCCGGTGTTACTCAGGAAATCATAAACCCGCAAGATGGCCTTTATCTCGTTAGCTCCGGATCAGTGTCCCCACCCCGGGGCTGTGGCTGGGCCCTGGAAGTCCCTGTTTCCCAGAGGCTCTGGGGCTGGTGTTGCAGCCTCCTTGTGGCTCACAGAGTCCTGGGGAACACGCCCTGTCCTCATCCCACCTTTTCTGTGCCTAGCACCCCAGCTGGATGCATGCTCCTGGCACAACTGCTGGCGGATCTGCGGTGGCGAGCGCCTGCTGCCCAAGTGCCAGCAGCTCCAGGCCCCCGACCAGGATGAGCTACCGGCTCGCCCAGTGTGTCTGCTGCGCCTTGCCCTCCTGGCCCTCCTCCAGGCCATCCCGAGGGTCATTGTGGCCATTCGGTGAGCAGGTGGGGAATGGGGGACAGCGGGTGGCCCTGGCATGGTGATGTCCACCTGAGGGACGCTTGGTGACCGAGGGAGAGTTGGGGGCAGGGGTTAACTTGACAGGCAGCCGAGGCGGGGCGCTGTGAGTGTGCCCTGTGGCGCTCTGCACGGCGCAGGCTCTGCCCCGCCTCGCCTAGAGATGCCAGGGCAGTCTGGGGGCGGCGGGGGCCTCGTGGGGGCGGCGGGGGCCTCATGGGGCACTTCCACCCCTTCTCTGTTCCCAAGTTCTTTTTTTTTTTTTTTTTTTTTTGAGACGGAGTCTTGCTCTGTAGCCCGGACTGGAGTGCAGTGGCCGGATCTCAGCTCACTGCAAGCTCCGCCTCCCGGGTTCCCGCCATTCTCCTGCCTCAGCCTCCCGAGTAGCTGGGACTACAGGCGCCCGCCACCTCGCCCGGCTATTTTTTTTTTTTTTGTATTTTTAGTAGAGACGGGGTTTCACCGTGTTGGCCAGGATGGTCTCGATCTCCTGACCTCGTGATCCGCCCGTCTCGGCCTCCCAAAGTGCTGGGATTACAGGCTTGAGCCACCGCGCCCGGCCTGTTCCCAAGTTCTAAAATGGCCCTACTCCCAGAAGGACACGGGTCCCAGTTTCCATACATTTCCATTGTTATGTTGGGGTCGATGGTGCATCTTAACAGCCACTCGCCCTCCAGCCTCTGAGCTCTGAGCACCCCCTCAGGTATAGGGACCTCCTGCCTGTACCCCCAGCTTGAACCCTAGCCGCCAGGCTCCATACTAGAAAGCCCCTTTCCCTGGTCTCTAGTCCCTACCCTCACCTAGGCTTCGAGTTTTGCCCCTGGCACTCTTGCTGCTCATAGCCATGGCTTTCTGCTGGGATCCCTCCCCCAGGAAGCCTCCAGGGCCACTCCCCAGGCCGCAGCAGGACTTCGGGGAACAGTTGCTTCTTCCTCCCCATTTACTCTCGGCCTAGGCAGTGGCTCCTCTGCAAAGCCTCCCCTCCCCTCCTCGTCCCCATCATTGCCCATTGCAGCTCCTTCCTGCCTGGAGGCCTGCATCACCCTGCATGGACGAGGAGACCTGTGAACAAACATGCATACACAATCGAATTTACATGCATTTACTTGTTTGCTCCTTGTCTCCTCCATGCAATTGGAAGAGGAAGATTCAAAATGTGCAGTGTCTGCAGATAGCTGCCAGGTGTCCTGCCCTATTTTCTAGTTGTTCACAGCAGGAGCTTAGCCCGGTCTTGGTCACTCTGCCACACCTGGGAGTGGGAGCCCCTCCCGTGTTTTTTGGGTTATCCATTCTCATAGAGTTGGACATTACCTCCCGCTCCCTGGGCAGTCACAGTCGAGGCTGTGATGTGCATCAGGTAATGTGCATCAGGTATGGGTCCCTTGTGGGCCTGGGCGCCAGCCTCTCCAGGCCATGCATGGGGAAGGGGGCTGGGAGCGGGTACAGTGAGCTCTGCGTGATCTCCGAGCATGAGCAGTACCTGGGCAACAGTGAGAGCTTTCCTTTGTCATTTTTCTTGCGGATTTGTCTTTCTTTTTATGTTTGGCAACTTGGTGATCACATTTTGTTTGACTCCTTTGTACCCACACTGGGAGGAGCAAAGAACACCACTTGGCCTTCAAGGATGGGCGAGGCCGGGTGCTGTGGCCCACACCTGCATCCCAGCCTTAAAGGATGGGCAAGGTGTGGTGGCCTACACCTGGATCCCAGCACTTTGGGAGGCTAAGGTGGGAGGATCACTTGAGCCCAGGAGTTCAAGACCAGCTTGGGCAACATAGCAAGACCCTATCTCCATACAAAATTAAAAAATTAGCTGAGTGTAATGCTGTGGTCCCAGCTACTTGGGAGAATGAGGTGGGAAGATTGCTTGAGCCCACGGTGGGAGGATCACTTGAGCCCAGGAGTTCAAGACCAGCTTGGGCAATATAGCAAGACCCCATCTCCATACAAAATAAAAAAATTAGCTGACTGTGGTGCTGTGGTCCCAGCTACTTGGGAGGATGAGGTGGAAAGATTGCTTGAGCCCAGGAGTTTGCAGTTGCAGTAAGCTGATTGTGTCAGTACACTCCAGCCTGGGCAACAGAGCAAGATCTTATCTCTAAAAGAAATTTAAGAAACAATTTTAAAGGATCAATGTTAAGTAGATGGTCAGGGAACCCAAAAGGGAATTGCTGAACCCTGACCTCAAGCTCAAATTACCTGGTAAGATGGAAGGAATGGAAGGAAGGAGAGGGGAAGAAAAAGAGAAAGATGTCTGGGCTTCATCTAGAGATTTGGAGTAACTGTTCTGGGGAGGGCCTGGGCATGCTTTTGTTTTGAAGTTCCCCAGAAGTGCAGTCCAGGTGGAGACCCACCTGCATGTCAGTGCAGCTTCCTGTTTTTCCAGCCCCCAAATCCTGGCTCTTGGAGGCCCCCATCTTTTCCCGTCCTCATCAACAGCTTGTCTAGAAAGACCCAGGAAGCCACTCACCCTGTGGTGTTGGTGGTTCGTACGCTTCCATAGCAGGTGTCTGCTTCTGAGCCAAGCTCCCAGGGCAGCGGAGCAGGCACCAACCAGCATCCCAGGGGAGGGCACAGCTTGTCCGGCTGGGATGTGTGGGTGCCCTGTGAGGTGCTGCAAGCCACACACCCAGCTTATCTCAGGGGAAGCCTCGGCCGCTGGTCTGCCAGCCTGGAGAGATGTGCTGCAGCAGCTGGGGGTGGAAGGAGAGAGTGGACTTAGGATCTCTCGGCAGGGAGCCCCCAAGAGCAGGGCGAGACCTGCCTTCATTTCACCTGTTCCCTTTACAGTTCTGCAAAGCCAGCATTATCATCCCTTTTCAGAAGGAGTGGGCACTCAGAGGTGGAATGCCTTGCCCTGGTCCCACAGCTGGGAAGTGATGTGGCCGGGACTGCATCCCACCCCTCGTCCCCGCACCCCTTTCCTGCCTGGGATTCCTCCAGCCCTGTGCACCGTGGAGTGCCTCTGCCTTCCACTCCTGGAGGTTCCCCAAGGGCATGCTGAGGGCAACTGGTCTCAGCCTGGGGCCGGGTCCTAGTAACTGTCTCTCGCTTTGCTTTCCAGCCAGTTTTTTGGGATTTGAAGTTGGAATCTTCAGCTACTGTCAAGAATATCCACAAAAATGTGTCACAATCAAGATCTTTAACGAGAGTCCTCCAATCAGGAGGCGTCTGTGACAGCCGCTGTTTTCTCATAGAACAGAATCCACACCCAGGATTCAACCCAAATTATTTCTCATCAGGTGATTCTTGGTTGTAGCGAAGTTCATATGAATGTGGGTGAGCTTCTGTTATGAATGTGGTCAATAAATGTTATTCGTGAAACTCTAAACTGGCCACCTCTTAAATGATATCCTCTGATTTCCCTTCATTAAGGGGGGACTTGTCCCCATCTCCGTGTCCCTGGGGGAGGGCAGCCATTTCCGAGTGTCTCTTCAGGGACAGCAGATCCACTGGACAAGGGTCCGAAAATGGTATCAGCACCTGTGTCAGGTGGGTCTCACTTTAAGTAGCAGAACATTGTATATGTGAACTGAATTTTAAAATCTGAGATCTCTTTTACATATCATAAAATTCACTCTTTTAGAGTATACAATTCAGTGGTTTTTAATATATTTACAGTGTTGTGCAACCATCACCGTTCATTCTAGAACATTTACCGCAAAAAGTCCCATACCATTAAGCAGTCACTCCTTCCCATCTCCCCCAACCCCTGGTGACTTCTGATATACTTTCTGTCTCTGGATTTGCCTGTTCTGGGACATTTCATCTCAATGCTGTCATCCGATGAGTGGTCTTTTATGACTGCCTTCTTTCACTTGGCATTACGCTTCATCCATGTTGAGGCGTATGTCAGTATGTCTTTTCTATTGATGGTTGAATTTTGGGTTGTTTCTGCTTTTCGGTGATTCTACTTTGTGAATAATATGGTTTGAACATTTACGTGCAAGTGTTTGTGTGGACAGAGGTTTGCATTTTTCTGGGGTGTACGCCTGGGAGCAGAATTGCTGGATCATATGTTACTCCATGTTTCATGTTTTGAGGAACTGAGCGGAACTGCTGGATCATATGTTACTCCATGTTTCATGTTTTGAGGAACTGAGCGGAACTGCCGGATCATATGTTACTCCATGTTTCATGTTTTGAGGAACTGAGCGGAACTGCTGGATCATATGTTACTCCATGTTTCATGTTTTGAGGAACTGAACGGAACTGCTGGATCATATGTTACTCATGTTTTGAGGAACTGCCCAGCTCTTGTCCACAGCAGCTGCACCATTTTCTATGCCCACCAGCAGTGCACCAGGGTTCCCATTTCCCTGCATCCTCACGACACTTGTTTCATCTGTGACTTTCCTGATAGCCATCCCAGCAGGTATGGAGTGGTGTCTCATTGTGGTTTCCATTTGCATTTTCCTAATAACTAATGATGCTGAACGTCTTTCCATGTGCTTGTTGGACATTTGTATAACTTCTTTGGAGAAGCGTCTATTCAAATACTTTGTCTATCTATAGATACATAGATACACACACACATACACACACACACACATATATATAGATGTGCCCCTACACACATATATGTAGTTTTTAGACAGGGTCTCACTCTGTCACCCAGGCTGGAGTGCAGTGGTGCAGTCATAACTCACCAAAGCCTTGGCCTCCTGGGCTCAAGGAATCCTCCTGCTTCAGCCTCTCATGTGGTTGGGAACACAGGCACATACCACCATACCCGGCTATTAATAGTTTTTTTTTTAATTTTTGTGGAGACGGGGTCTCGCTTTATTGCCTAGACTGGTCTTGAACTCCTGGGCTCAAACGATCTTCCTGCCTCTGCCTCCCACAGTGCTAGGATTACAGGCATGAGTCACCATGCCTGGCCTTTTGTCTACATTTTAATTGAGTTGTCTGTCCATTTTTTTATTGTTGAGTTGTAAGTATTCTGTGTATATTCTGGATACTAGACCCATTTTCTTGATGATGTCCTTTGAAGTAGACGTGGGTTTTAAATTTTTGTGAAACACAGTTTATTTTTTCCTAGGTTGCATGGACTTTAGGTCGTATGCTTATAGCTAAGAAACCATTGCTGGATTCAATATCACAGGGACTTGCACTTGTGTTTTCTTTTTTTTTTTTCTATTTTTTTTGAGACAGAGTCTTGCTCTGTTGCCCATGCTGGAGTGCAGTGGTGTGATCTTGGTTCACTGCAGCCTCCACCTCTCGGGTTCAGACGATTCTCCTGCCTCAGCCTCCCAAGTAGCTGGGATTACAGGTGCCTGCCACCATGCCCGGCTAATTTTTGTATTTTTAGTAGAGACAGGGTTTCTCCATGTTGGCCAGGCTGGTCTCGATCTCCTGACCTCAAGTGATCTGCCCACCTTAGCCTTCCAAAGTGCTGGGATTACAGGTGTGAGCCACTGCACCTGGCCCTGTGTTTTCTTCTAAGAGTGTTATCGTTGTAGCTCTTACATTTAGGTTTTTAAAATCTATTTTGAGTTTAGTTTCTGTATATGGTATGAGGTAGATGTCCAGCTTCATTCTTTTGCTTGTGGATATCCAGTTGTCCTGCATAACACCATGAAATGATAAAAGTATAGAAATGGAGAGCAGATCAGTGGTTTCTGGGAGCTCAGGAAGGGTCTGGGTCTGGTGGGAAGGAAGGGCCTGTGGTTATAGAGGGGCAGCATGAGGCCTTCTTGTGGCTGGAAACACATCAGTGGCAGTATTCTGGTTGCAGTATTGTACTGTGGTTTTGCCATGTGTTACCAGTTGGGGCAAACTGAATAAAGGATAACGTGAGGTTTCTCTGTATTATCTCTCTTTTTTTTGAGACCGGGTCTCACCCTGTCGCCCAGGCTGGAGTGCAGTGGCACGATCTTGCCTCACTGCAACCTCCGTTCCTTGGGCTCAAGCGATCCTCCTGCCTTAGCCTCCTGAGTAACTGGGATTACAGGCTTGCACCACCATGCCTGGCTAATATTAATATTTGGTTTCACCATGTTGGCCTGGCTGGTCTCAAACTCCTGACCTCAAGTGCTCTGCCTGCCTCGGCCTCCCAAAATGCTGGGATTACAGTTGTGAGCCACCACTCCTGGCCTGTCTGTATTATTTGTTATATGTGTATGTGAGTCTATAATTATCTCAAAATGAGAAGTTTAATTGTAGAAGCAACACAATTCACTGTGAAAGACTTTAAGGATACAGAAAGGTACAAAGAAGAAAATAGAAACCACTCAGTTCCTCCCCGTGAGCAGATCTCTGTTATTACTGCCTGGGCAGGAAGGAAAGGACACATTCCTCCGGGGGTGACCAAAGGGAGGACGTAAAGGTGACAGACAGGCTTGGACAGTAGTTCGCACCTGTAATCCCAGCTACTCAGGAGCTGGGGAAGATTACTTGAGGCTGGGAGTTCGAGACCAGACTGGGCAACATAGCGAGAGTCTGTTTCTACAAAAAATATAAAAATTAGCCAGGCATAGTGGTGCATGCCTGTAGTCCCAACTACTTGGGAGGCTGAGGCGGGAAGATCTCTTGAGCCCAGGACTTTAAGGCTACAATGAGCTGTGATCATACCACTGCACTCCTGCCTGGGCAACACAGCAAGACCCTGTCTCTCTAAAAAAAGTGTCAAACAGGAACCAGACTCTGGGATGCTTGAACTGGGGGGTCCACTTTAGACACAAGGAAGAAAGATGTGGGGGTCTGAGATACACAGAACAAAGAGGGCTACAGCGAGTGGGCCAGGGCCTCGGGGTATCTTGGGCACATCCGTACCTCTGCGGTGGCCACCATGGAGGGCCTCTTGTCTTCCCTGGGGGAATGGAAGCTGTGTTCTCCTGGGGCACATCTTCAGTGGCCCTAGGGCAACATTAAACATCATTTATTCAATCAGCAGATATTTATTGGATACCTGGCACCAGGGAGACAGCATAAGAAGACATATGCTGCCCCCAGGATGCCACTGGGCTGCGGGGGTATTATAATTGAGGCAAGGGTCGTTGTCATGACTGAGGCACACATGAACACAAGGAGGGCCCAGGAGCGCTGTCAGTGACCTGCTAACCATTCCCACATTGCCACAAGGACCAGCAACCTCTGTCTGGGGTGTTCTTGCTGCGGGAGCCACTGCAGGGACAGGCTGGACGTACAGGAGGTGATGTCCCAGGAGCAGCCCTTGGTCGATGATGGGTGGGAGGTGTGGGTCAGCACTTCTGTCCCCTTGCCCTTCGACGGGGATGACTCTGGGCTGTGTTCCCAGCAGGACTGAGCCCCTACCACCCACAGGGGCCACCTTCTTGCCAGCGTCCTTCATCCCAGCTCTCCTTCCTTGCCTCACCTCCCCACTCACTCACAGGGCTTCCTGCATCACCTCCCCCAAAAAACACTTGCGCTCAATTCTTGCCTCAGGCTCTGCTTTTGGGGTGAACTCAAGATAAGACAAGGTGAGCAGACCCCATCTCACCAGTCAGGGAGGAAGCTCCATTGGAGCAGAGATCTGAAGACAATTCCAGGTAACCTGGCAATGAAAGGTGATGCCAGAGTGCCCGGGCACAGGCACAGCAGGAGGGGACAGTCTGGAGGTGACAGGTGGGGGCATTCGGCCACATAAGCCAGTTAGGGTGGCTGGGTCGTGGCATGGGCAGCCAAGAGCACTGGAGGATGAAGCGGATGGCAGAGAGCTGGGGAGGCTGCCAGAGCATCACACTTGTGTGGCTAAAGCCTGCACCACAGCCAGGTTGAGGGCATATTCCAGAAGGCTGTGAAGTCCTGGGCCCCCTGGCCCTGTCAGTGGCCGGGGAGGACAGGTCAAGGCAGTGGCCACAGCAGCCCGTGCCCACAGGCTGCAGTTTGGAGAAACCACTCCAGCTGAAGTGTGTTGGATGGAATAGAGTGGCGAGAGTGGACACGGGAAGCCAGCTTGGAGGCTGCAGCAGGAAACCTGGTGGGGGACAGCGGTGTCTGGACCTCAGTGGTGGTGGCAGTGGCTGTGTTCCAGGTACATAGGGGTATTTGGCTCTGTTGTCTACATCTGTGAGGATGTGTTCTTGGGAAGTGGTACCTGAGGCTGCACCACATGTCCCGATTAACCCAGGGACAATGTCGCTGCAGTCCACACGGGACCATGGCTTCTATAGACGGACCCCAGACAGCCCTCCGCCTGCAGGCGTCATCTTGAAACTTGGCGTTAGGAGCCACAAGAGGGCACTGTTGAGAGACTTTCGCATAGAAGCCCCAGAAGGCCAGGGCTGGAGGGGGCTTCAGTTGCCCAGGTCAGCCCTTGGTTTGTGGGAGAGGGAGCTGTGACTTCCTGGACCTGGTGAGGCCCAGGGAGGTGAAATGTGGGGTAAAGCTGTTTAAAGGGTTTTGGAGAAGATGCTCCTGTTGTCTGCACCCCAGACTCCAGTCAGGACCCCAGAGAAACACTCTGTCCCTCCCTCCCCATCTCCCCTCCACCCAGCCACACAGCCCTCCCTTCCTCCTCCCCTGCTGCCTTCCTTTTTCCTCCCCTCTGCCTCTCTTCCCCTCACTCTGCCCCAGGCCATTAACTGGGTAATGACCACACAGCCCAGCCCTGCCCAGTGGAACTTTCTGCGATGGTGGAAAAGTTGGTCTGTACCGTCTGGTTCAGGGGCCATGAACCACATGTGGCCGGAGTCCCACTGGCCCAGCCAGGCTGCCATGGCAGGTGGAGGCACTGCAGTCTGCCCAGCCCAGCCCAACCCAGGTCTTGGTGGCTTCTCAGGCTGCTCCTGGCAGTGCCTGGCCCCATCTTCTGAGAGCTCTCTGGTGACCTATGTGCCAAGACTTGGGGCCTGGGAGGGGCCGTGGGGACACTGGTCCAATCGCCTCATTCACAGATGGGGACACTGAGGCCCAGAGAGGGCCATGCCCTGTCCCAAGCCACACAGAAGCTGGTGGCACATGCGAGACTTGGCCTTGGCTCTCCTGCAGCCCATCCAGGTCACCTTTTGTTCGGCGGCCTCCCAGTTCCAGGTGGTGCCTCTCCATTTGTCCACTCTGGGGAGACCCTTTCTAAGCCTCCCCGTTAGAGGAACTGCAAATGGGTTGTGCTGCCTGGACACTGTAGCAAAGACCCCTGAGGTCACCCAGGCCCTTGAGGAAGCACCTCTGTGATCACTTAGTGATGTTTGGTCCAGGCTGGGCTGAGGCTCAGTGGTGTGAGTATCATGGGGCTTTTGCGGCTTTTTCCCAGGGACTCTTGCTGTGCTTGACACACAGTAGGTGCTGCGTCAGTACTTGTTGATTTTGGATACCTGCTGTTTTCTCTGGTGGGCATTGCACTGGGGGGTCTGGGAGCCCTGGGAGCCCACTGGGGCACTTGGAAGCTTCCTGTTTTCACTTTCGTCATTTCCAAGAGAGATAGTGCTGTTTGAGACCCTGTTTTTTTTTTTTTTTTTGAGACAGAGTCTTGCTCTGTAGCCCAGGCTGGAGTGCAGTGGCGCAATCTCAGCTCACTGCAAGCTCCGCCTGCCGGGTTCATGCCATTTTCCTGCCTCAGCCTCCCGAGTAGCTGGGACTACAGGCACCTGACACCATGCCTGGCTAATTTTTTGTATTTTTAGTAGAGATG